TGTTATGATTTTACTAATTAAAATCTTGTGTAACAATAGCTCGGAGGGTCATTTTGTTAGCAAAAGCCCCAATTTATCTTGGATGATGATGATGATATATTAAATCATAAATATATTATATTTTATTAAATATTTTATAATTTAAAATAAATACTTACATATAAATTAATAAATAATATTTAAAGAAAGCGATAATAATAATAATAATAATCATAATAATTCAGATTATGAAACAAAAAATGATTTAACTGGTATGTATTTATTTATTTATATATTTAATTATTAAATAGTGTTTACTATTAATAAATAAATTAATATTTATTATAGATGAAGAATTAAATAGACTGAATTCTAATATAAATAAACAAAAATATAATTTAAAAGATAATTCATCTAAGCGTCAACGTTTAATAACATCTGACAAAAATAAAAATAAGAAGCCAATTTCTGCAAAGGATATATACCTTAACACAAAACAAAAAAGTCTTCAAATTGAGCAAGATCGAATAACAATTGAAAAAGACATAGCTGAAATAAAGAAATATGAAGTTGAACAAAAGTTATTAATCGAAGAAAAAAACTTTAGTGGGAAAAAGACAAGACAGAAAAGGAAGAAATAAAAGATAAAAAAACTCAACAATATAATATTTTTTAGAACTTATACGTCAAGGAAAATCAATTACTGATATTAAAGAAATATTAACTTTTTTTAATATAAATTAATCATTATATAAGCAATATTTTTATATATTTAATAATATATACAGTAATTTATAATTTAATTAATTATTATATAAGCGATATTTTTATATATTTAATGTAATATACTGTATTAAGTAAATAATATAAAAATAATTATATAACAATATAATAATAATACATATAAAAAAAGCATCGTTTAAACTATATATTTTGTAATGATTATATTTTATAATTATAAATTATTTTTTTAAGAACTAAATTTTGTACATATTTACGTATTTTTTTACCTTCTTCATTCAAATTACTATCTAATACATTATCTACAGTTATTGAATCTGAATTAATTTCATTAATATTTTCTTCCCAAATATCACTATTTTTTAACACTAAATTATAAAGAATAATTGTTACTTTAATTATATCTAAAACAAATTTTAAATGTTTTTTAGATAATATTTGTGTTCTTATTTCATTTAAACACCCAAATTTTCTTTTCCAAATTCCATTAACATGTTCAATTCGTATATGTTCTTTAGCAAGCATTTTATTAAAAACTGTATTCCTATAAATATTAGCTTGTAGTTGCTTATAAGGAATTATTGTTGTTAGAGTAAGCTAATAACCACAATCTGCTAATAAATATTCATATTTACTAAAAAATTTATTCAGATCTTGATAAAGTGAAGTAGATCTATAGGCAGTTGAATCTGTAACAGATCTTG